ATCTTAGTATACAAATATTAAAAGGGAGAGTGATTTTTCATTTATGATAGTATTTGAAATTGTTTTTCATATATATTTTAAGTTTAAAAAAATTAGGTGAGTTAAAAAAAAACTAACCCTACACATGGACACAGACATGGCGATGTTATGATGGTAGCAGACAACTACCTGAAGTCTGGGCAGCCCTGGCCTGACTCAAGTCTTGCTTCTGTCTGGTTAGGCTGTGGTCCGGGTGGATGAGGGCTTGGGGAGCATTTCATGTTTTCTCTTAGACCCTCTGCTATTGTCTCCAGAATTTGCCCAGGCCTACTTCTGAGTAGTAGCTTGAGATAAGACATTAACATTTGGAAAATGAGTGAGCTGTAAACACAAAAAAAATTTTTTTAAAGATTTTATTTATTTGACAGAGAGAGAGCACACGCAGGGGGTGTGGCAGGCAGAGGGAGAGGGAGAAGCAGGCTCCCTGCTGAGCAAGGAGCCCAGTGCAGGGCTCTATCCCAGGACCCTGGGATCGTGACCTGAGCTGAAGGCAGACACTTAACTCACTGAGCCACCCAGGCGCTCCACACACAAAAATTTTTTATGCCAGTTTTTCAATCTTTTTATGACAGAAATTATAAAAAAAGTTAAACAAAGCAAGTAGATGCCATAAGATAATGTACTAACTTTATATCAATAAGCCAAAATCTAAGTGAACAGATATTTCCTAGGAAATTATAAGTTATTAAAAAAAAACTTACGGAAGAATTAAAAAAAACTGAAAAGAGGATTTAAAAAAATGCTACAGTGAAAATCTTTCTTGAAAAAGTATCAGGCCCGGGCGCCTGGGTGGCTCAGTTGGTTAAGCGACTGCCTTCGGCTCAGGTCATGATCCTGGAGTCCCTGGATCGAGTCCCACATCGGGCTCCTTGCTCAGCGGGAAGTCTGCTTCTCCCTCTGACCCTCTTCCCTCTCATGCTCTCTCTCATTCTCTCTCTCAAATAAATAAATAAAATCTTTAAAAAAAAAAAAAAAGTATCAGGCCCAGTTTTCCTGGAGTTCTAACCAAGGGTTCAATGAACCAATAATGCTAATGTTATTTAGGATTCAGAAGAAAATGGAAGCATTTCCAAAGCATTCTGCCAGAATAGTCTAACTCTGATACCAAAACCAGGTAAGGTGCACAAAAAACAAACATAAACAGAGTAAACTTACCAAGTGAAATCCAGTAGTGACTAAAATAATACATTATAATAAAGTAGGATTTAGTGATAAATGCCCATATGGTTGAATAATTTGAAATTTTAAGAGCAATTTAGTACGTTATTAGATTAAATAAGGACAAAAAAACCTCTAGGATAAAGTACTATCTCTAATTTTAAAAGCAAGCTCTAATATTTAATAGAAATGCTTCTAACTTTTCATTGCAAAATAAAAAGCAAGGAGTAAGTGACATTAGCATAACATTCCTGGCAGTTCTAACCAATATAATAGGAGAAGAATAAGAATTAAAAGGCATACATTCTGTCAAAGAGAAAAACTTTTACGTGGATGTCATGACTGCCGATTTAGAAAATCAAAGTAAATCAGTTAATAATAGAACTATTAAAAAGAGTTCAGTGAGGTGACTGGATGTAAGAAAGTAAAAGCATTGTTACATGCAAACAATACACCCAGTAGGAAATAGTAACAAAAAGATCCCCATTCAAAATCAAACAGTAAGTGTGAAATACCAAGCAAAAGACTTGGCAAAAAAAAAAATGCAAGATTTATACAACTAAAATAATGAAGGCTTTACAGAAAGACACAGAAGATCAGAAAGGGACATACATTTTAAGTCTTTGGATAGAAAGATTCAATGCTGTGACAACATCATTCTTCCTCAACTGAAAATTTAAAATCCTAAAGGAGATTTTAAAAATAAAACTGACAAATTCAAGCTCACCTGAAAAAGTAAAAAATGCTCAGGAAGAGCCAAGAAAAATCTGAAAGACTAATGATGGGGGTATTTGCAACTATTAACATGTACAAGGAAAATTACAGTAATCAAAACATATGGCACAGGAATGGACAAGTGATTGATGGAACAAAAAGAATTCCAGACACAGAATTACACACACACACACACACACATAGATTTCAAATTAATGGAGAAAGTTTAGTTCATTTACTAGAAAATGGTGAAAAAATTAGATGCCTAACAACACATGCATTTGAATAATAATTATATATATGAAAAACTGCTCATCCCTCACTAGTAACCTGGACATGCCAATTAAGATAACTTTGTTGTTTGTTGATTAATTTGGTAACAGTAAGAAGTGAAAACATGCCATGTTTTTGAGAGTCTGGGGAAAAGTGGCCCCTTTTATGCAGTTAGTGAGAATATATAGTTTTCTAGGGCAACATGACAACTTCACTAAATATAAAGATAAGCATGACTTTTAACCTAAAAATTTCACTTCTAGGATCCTACCCTACTTAGAAATATACCCTGCAGTATCATCTGCAGTTGCAAAAACTGGCAACAATTTAAATGTTCATAGTGGGGTAATGGTTAAAGAAATTCTCAAATCTGCACTATGTGACAGATAAAAATGATTGTGCAAATGTGTATGTATTCATGTGGAAAAATTTGTAAGGCATATTAAATGAAAAACAAAGTCAGGTGTCAAAATCATATAATCCCATGCCATCCCATCCCACTGTGTGTGTGTTTATTAGTTAGGGAAATGTCTTGAAACACACATATCGAGGTGCTGGCGATGGTGGACTTTGGGAAGTGGAATGGAAATGTGGGAGAGGAGGTGGAGAGGAAGTGCCCCAGACAGAAGGTGAGGGTTGGGGTGTCACTTTTCGAGTTGTTCACTGTGTTGAAATTGACAATTCATATTCATTTTTTACAAAAATGTCTTTTAAGAAGTTTTGCAATTTAACAAAAGAAAAAAGAGAGTTGGATTAGAACAAGGGCTGCTCACTTCCTCACATCTGTCTTATCTGAAGCAGCTCCAGCAGCTTTACTTTTTATCCATTTTACGTATTTGGCTTTTGGTAAGATTTTATTTGAACACAGGAGCTGCACAATAAAGTTCTTTTAAGCACTAATAATCCATGAACAAGTCTACAAATGTTATATCTCTGTGTGATTCGTGGAGAGAAATATTTTAATCTTGGTTAGGTTTCCTTTTCTACTCATATAAGGTTATGTACGCTCAGAAAGAAAAACTAGTTTTAATATTAACAATATATAAATAAGAAAAGATATTGTGGAAAAAAAGGTATGCATGAAAGGTTAAGAGACACAAACTAAAAAACAAGTGGTGATTTTGGAAATCTGTTTTTACTCCTCCACTTCCTACCTCAGTGGCTAGGTCAAGTCACGTTCTAGTTCTAGAGGCCACGTGTTTATGACCAATGCTGCCATTAATTTAAAAATGATGACCAATTTATGATACATAGACCAATGTTCCATGATGACGGAGTATAAAAACAAAGAACCCTGACAGATTTTGATGTTGCAAATCAATAAAAAATTAACCCTTCATGACTGGCTCTATTGCTACTACAGTGCAGGACAATCGGGCACACATTGTAAAGTTTCAAGAGACAGAAGTTAGCACTGCTTCTCCATTCTCCAACAAAGTTGTTTTTATGTAAGTTATTCTTTCCAGCACTTACTGGAAATTCCCCCAATTTATTTCAATTCCCCCAGCTCCATCCCAGCCCAAACCATGTTTTGTTTAATGTTTAACATGCTCACATTATGAAAAGATAAAGGTCCCAGATCCCTGATAGCCAGAGTCCTGTGTCCCTGTAGAATTAACTGAACACACATAATTTTAGATGAATAATTAAGCAACACACATTCTTCCTTTCATTGTCATTTTAATAGAAAAAGAATATAAATCCCAATGTTACAAAATATATTTCATATTGTTTTTGTAATTGAAATTAAAAAAAAAAACCACCAACTTTATAAAATAAAAGGATGTAAGCAAATTCCAAATGGAGCAAAGACATAAAAACAGTAAAATTCTAGAAAAAAGCTTGGACAAATGTATGTGTATTCTGGGAATGGAAAAGATCTTTTTTTTTTTTTTTTAAAGATTTTATTTATTTATTCATGAGAGAGAGAGAGAGGCAGAGGGAGAAGCAGGCTCCCAAGGAGCAGGGAGCCCGATGCGGGACTCGATCCCAGGAGCCGAAGGCAGATGCTTAACCATCTGAGCCACCCAGGCGCCCGGAAAAGATCTTTCAAAAAACCATAAACCCAGAAGCAACAGAGAAAAAGACTGATTGATAAGTCTGACTACATAAAAACTTAAAAACTTATTTATGGCAAATAAAAAGTCACAAAACAAGCAAAGGCCAATAACAAACTGGAAAAATGTATTTGCAACATCTACTGAAGCCAAAGGGCTCTTTAATTTATGAAGAATTCATGCATATTAATAAGAAAAAGGTAGTAATCCAAAAGAAAAATTGATGAAAGATAGGAACAGTCAGTTTAAAAGGGGAAAACTATTGTAAGACCAATGTATATGAAAATATGCTCAAATCTCATTCATACTTGAGGAATACAAACAGTAAGATACCATTTTTCTGACACGTGAGATAACAAAATTAAAATGCCTGATGATGCCCACAATAGTTGATAGTTGCGAAAACTGAAAACAGCAGAAGTGTCCATCAGCAGGGGACTGGTTAAATTAATTATAGTGTATGGAATACAAGATAGCCATGAAAAGGTATGAGGTAGATCTCTGTGTATGTAAGGACAAGGAAAGGTCTTCAAGATATATTTGTAAAATGTACATAGTTTAAAAAAAGATTAAGTAAAAAAAAGGAAGGAGTATTGAACAGTGCATGAAATGAGAGGGAAAAAAGTATATTAAAGTATACTGCAATTCCTTTTCTGTCTTCTAAAGGAATTATAAAATACTGTTGGCTGTAGTTATCTTTAGGTAAATGAATAAAGGGTAGGGCCAGGGTGGGAGAGTTTTACTTTTTATTTTGTACCCTTCTGTACTGTTTTATGTTTCTACCCTTAAGGGTTTAACATTATTTCAGCAGGGGTCAAATGGGCAGATAGACTATGGCTCATTCATTGTTTTCTTTTATCTCTATGTTAGAAAAAACACAGTAATTGTTTTTTACACTCACTTACACACAAAGATGTTAAACCAAAACATACGCAATTATAAAAAAAAACCAGAAACACACACATACACATATACACATTGTCTGACAGTAAGCACAGGGGAAAACCTACCTTTTCCATTTCAGTTACTTACTATCCTAATGTATAATGTACAGAGTTGATATTATCCAAAGATGTCAAAGTACTTCATTAATATTCCTTAATCTACTTAATGTAAGTTTCCATTTCATATGGTGATATAAGATTGTGGGTACAAAATATTAGTGAATATAGAAAGAAATCCCAAGGGTCTCATCTGAATAATGTTCTGACCACACATGAACTTTGTTCTTGTACCACCTCACAGTTATGATTCAGAGGCTGATCTTCGAATCAGGTCCCCAAAATAAGCAGTGATTGTCTTCAATTTATTATTAAGAAAGTTTTGTTCAATTTCCACTTGCCCTCCAGGCCCAGCTAAGGACGCCACCTAAAAAAAGGAATGGAAGAAAGTCACACATAACATAAACATGATTTCAAAATAAGTATTTTATTTATATGCTTTATCAAATAATAAGACTGGGTTTTCATTTAAGTTTTTCAAAATAATGAGGCATCTCAAATGTTCACTGTTACTTTCTAGGCAGGCAAGCAAATATTTATGCAGTATTTGGTGGTGGAAATACTTGTTTCCAATAATATGGGTAAGACCATTGTGCTATGTTATTTGTTCAGGGCCTAATCTCTCCAATGCCAGAAGCTAAAGAACTCAGAGGAAGAGAAAATGAACATATTCTTCCCAAATATCAAGAGTAGGATGCTTTACCAACTGAGCCACCCAGGGGCCCCAAGACATGTAGTTTCTGTAATTCATTCTGTGGTCATAATTGGCAAAACTGTTTATTTTGTGAAGAGAGGCGCTGTTGGTTTAATTTGGTTTGGAGGTTGAGAAATCTAATCTCAGTGGTATTACATAGGCCACACCAGCATCTGGCTGAAGGGAAGATTTATTGTGCATCACCAATGAGTATGCTTTAAAAAAGCATTTCAACTTCCTCTTAGAAAAAAGTCACAGATACAGAAATAGGGAAGAAACCACAGGTCATTCTAAAACAAGTGGTCCCACTAAACCAGTAGCAATGTCAATGTCAATATCAACCCCCATCTCCAAGAGGGACACAAAGTGATGGCTGTGTTTTCATCAGTAGGAATAGCTGACAACTGGAGTCAAACACAGGATCTGTCATAATGATAAAAAGCACACGTGTATCCACTATTCACTAATAAGCAATATATTAACGTAAAATTTTAGAAATTAAAAGTATTCAACTAGTCTCAGAGTGGCAATTATAGGAATAATTGTTTTATTTTCTATTTTGGTACCTTTATGCCAGCTTGATTTTTTTTTTCCTTTTTTTAAGTAGCTCTACACCCAATGTAGGGCTTGAACTCACGACCCCGAGACCAAGAGTCACGCTCCACCACCTGAGCCAGCCAGGTGCCCCTGCCAGTCTGATTTTTCATAAGGAAGGGTAAAATGGAAAATTTTGTCTTTACCAATAAAAGGCATTCTGACTGGTACATCTACAATATAATTATTTCACAGTAATTTTTCTAGGAGTTAGATATAACTCAGGTGAAGTATTTCTCCTGTTCCTTTAAATAGTGATTTACTTAGAGGAAGCGACATTGGCAGCAAAAGCTGAAGTTTTCTCTGGGGGAATAGTGTTGGTTGGGGAGGAGAGAGGAGGAGTGGGGAGGAGAGAAGAGGGCAGATTAAGAGAACCAAGCAGAGCTGAAACCATAGCAAAAATCTGTTAGGATAGGTCTAGCAGAAAACCAAAAGCAAAGTCAGAGGCAAACTTTAATACCAGTTCAACCATCAATTTAGAAAGATCTGAAAAATAGGAATACTACCTATTTCCCTCAATAGTGTATTTTGTGAGCCATAAAGAGAATAATTTTAAAAAAATCTCTGAGAAGGTGGGGTACTTTCTTTTCCCTTTCTCCCACCTTTTAGAGGGTTGCCTGGACTTGGGTGCTTTGGATAAAGGAGTGGAGATGTCCTCCTCAATGTGTGGGGGTTTTTCCAGGTCTGTTGCAAAATAGTTAATGAATTATTATTTTATTCAACAACTATTTACTGATGAGCGCTTAGAGGTTTTTGTCCCAGGCAGTGGAGTGCAGCAAAAACAAAATAATCTCTGCCTTCATGAAGGCTGGGAGAGTCAGATGACAGACAAATAAAACATGTGTGCACCATTCCTGATATTGGAGGAAAAGGTGAATCTATATCAAAATACAATGAGAAAACTTGTTTCTATTCAGTGTTTAGAGAGAAAATTAAAAAAAAAAAAAACTTAGTATGTTACTTTCACATGTTCTAATTAAAAACAATTTCTAACTTTAGCCTTTTTGTACTTTTAAAGGTTAGCATTATGGAGTTGAAAAGACTATAAGTTTATGTAGTTCAAATCAGTAATGCTTTGCTTCAATCAAATGGCCAAATTAAGGCCATTAACTTCCAACTGTCTTTATTTTTCACTAGCAGGTTTAACTGGCAAAATGTTATTTGATTCCTTCCCCTTTCTTAAAGTTTAATAAATTGAGAGAGAGGAGGAAAAGAGGGGGTGAGACAGGGGAAGGAGAGAAAAACATAGGTAGATAAATAGATAAAGGTTAACAACGGCTCTGGATTACACGCTATGTTTTTGGCATATTACCCAAGTATACTAACAAGATTTACCAAAAGAAATCCCAATTATTTTGGATTGGCACTAGAACTAAGGCTGGAACTCTCATCAACTAGATTTTATAATAGTTGTTCCTTGGGGACTGGGAAAGGAGAAACGGGTAACTATTATTTTTACTAAAAGGGATAACTTTAGTAAAAATGAAAGGCATTGAAGATTTAAGAGCCAACTAAACATTCAAAAGTGCATTTCTTTCTTTCTTTTTAAAAGTAAACTCTACACCCAACATGGGATTTGAACTCACTACCGACCCTGAGATCAAGAGTTGCACGCTTTACTAACTGAGAGCCAGCCAGGCACCCCTGCATTTTTTTCAAAAGCAAACTGATTTGAAGTAAAAATGTATGGCACCTGAATGAGAGACAATAACCACCAAACTGGAACCTAATGGAAAAACATGTAATCAATATCAAGGACAGGAACACTTTATTGTAAGAAAGATACAGAAAAATTAGAGCACTGAAAAACAGTCCTATTACTACATTGGAGAAGTGGTTATATCGCAATATGCAAAAACTTGCTTAGACACAAATTACATCAGGTGAAAATGAAGAGTATTTTTTATGGGGTCTATGGATTTCTGCCAATTAGGGACTGGAGTAGCAAGCACCTGAACGATTATTGGCTGTGATTAGAAACGAGTGTCCAACAGGCAAGTACCTTATCTACAGTTCCTTTCGCCTTCATGTTCCTTTTCTGACATCCAACTAATAATTACACACAAGTCAAAGTAAGCTGGATAAAATATTTCTGATGAACAGGTTCTCCGGGAGATAAAAGGATATATTTTTTATCAGTAGAAAACCAGGCAACACTCAAAACTTATACTTATTAAGATTAGTTCTATTTATCTGCACATGGTAAACAGAAATGAGATTTTTATGCGTAAGTGAATGAATCTTGGGCGCCTGGGTGGCTCAGTTGTTAAGCGTCTGCCTTCAGCTCAGGTCATGATCCCAGGGTCCTGGGATCAAGTCCTGCATCGGGCTCCCTGCTCAGCGGGAAGCCTGCTTCTCTCTCTCCCACTCCCTCTGCTGTGTTCCCTCTCTCGCTGTCTCTCTCTGTCAAATAAATAAATAAAATCTTTAAAAAAAAAATTTATTTTTAAGTGAATGAATCTTGTTTTTTTTGCTAATAGTTTTTCAGATAATTTGAATACTACCTCAGGCTCTCAGGTATCATTTCCTGTTTCCTTTTTTCCAAATATTTACTTGTTGATTAAAAGAAGTATGATTTTTAAAAGCCACCATTATCAACAGGGCGGCAGTGGGGATATGTCAAAAAAAATTCTCCTGGGCATTAAAAGTTTACCTGCATTAGTCTCTTAGGAGAAGGCTACCAAAAATCAGTTCACTAAGCTTTACTTCTTACCTGTTCTCAGAGCTGGAATCTGGAAACTGGAAACATGAAGACTGTTCTTAAATTTAACTAGTTACATAAAGCACAACAGACCGGAGAATCAGGAAGTCCCCAGCTGTTAGCACAGGACTTGTTCGTAGCACTATGTGTGGTATCCTTCTATTTATCTACATCATTTACTGAAAAAATTTACCCAAAGGGACGAAGAAAATATAAGCTTATGTTCAGAAGCATTTGTGCCTTTCCAATTCCACTTACGAGGCCAGGTGCACAGCCCCTGTGGAGAATGAGAATATACAGAATACAAGAACGAACAACACTGCGCTATTGTCCAACAGCAAACTTCACAAGGGAAAAGCCGGCTAATAAACGTGAGAAGCTGGTCAACTATGTCCTTAACTGCAATGCATGTACTAAGCGGTAGGTTTCGCTAGGAACAGAGGTGGTCTGCGAACCTGGGTACCAGTTACTAGACGAGATAAGAGAATACCTGTGGCAGACAAAGCTCAGCAGCAAGTGCCTTCTAGTTTGTGGTGAATTTTTAGCTTTCTTTTGCTTTTCTCACCAATCAAGAATGGAACAGAACTGATTCAGCAGAAATTCTTCATACTTCCTTTTGCTTTTCTTGTCACCTCAACTTCTATTCACTGCTCCCAATTTCAGGGTGGGCTAACTCAGTGATAAGAGATGGATCTGTTCCTTTTGGTAATGAATCCCTTATCAGTGGGAGACCGTAAGGCACTACCACTGTGAAAGAGAATGACCAGGCACATCACTGAACTCCCCTTTTCACTCTTCTGTAACTTTAGGCTGGTTTATAACCTGACTTGTCTACTCTAGCTGCTGTGATAATCCAATGAAATGTGCTGGGAGGCCCCAAACTCTTAAGTATGCCATTCAGACAAGAAACATTTATTAAACATTTATAATTAAAAATTATTTGTCTTGTATACAAATGCAGGGAACTGGTCCTCTGTAGGATGAATGTACTTTTGAGTGTTCGGAGTCTGGTTATTTTCAGGTTCAACAGTTTTAGAGTTTACTATTCCTACATGTACCAGAAGTCCAATCCAGTTCTTGGTCCACCTGCTATTCTCTCCTTCTTCTGGTATCTACACATGGACTAAGGGTCCTCCACTTTTGGGATGACTTTGTCGTATTTACCATGTGGACAGAGTTTTGGCTATCTGATAGTGCTGCCCTTAGACCAGATTTCTACTATGGAAATTTCATTTAGAAGAATTTTTTTTTTTTTTTT